AAGCTCATAGTAATGAACTCTAGACTAAAAAAGGAAAATAAAAGAATTATATTTAAACTGAATAGAATAATAGAAGAACCAAAAAACAAAATTGTAAGATCATTAGAAATCTGGTTAAACAGCAGAATAAGAGAATTACTAGTCTGCAAAAAAGCAAAAAGAATAGTTAGCCAAACAGTTAAAGACCTCAGATACAAAAAAATAACAATAAGCCAGATCATATATATAAATAATACAGTAATAATTTCAAAATTAGGATATCATTTAAAGTTAACAAAAATGTCAGAAAAAATGATTAACAAGATTCATTAGCTGATAATATGTTTGGCAAAACATAAGTGCAATATGATGAAAACAACAAATAACTACATAATTGAGTATAAAGATCTGAGAAACTGTAATTCACTAAGTCAAGAAATAGCAACAAAACAAATAAGCAGTTTATTTGTGAGACTTAATAGAAAAGACATCTTAGATAATCTAATAAAGCTTAGAATAGCCCAAGGGTATCAGAAAGCAGTCTTAACAAAAGATATTTGGAACTCTAAAAGAAGACTAGAAGAAATGAAGTATTGGAAGCAAAACTTAGTTTGTTAGACAATAGTTAAAACAAGAGAGATGGGCATAAGCATCAGAGCAGAAAATCCTTTATGTAAAGTACATGATTATGGAATATGTATAAAAGAATTAGTTAGGCTTGGATCATGGACAACTAGTAGCACAATAAATAAAAGAGGTTTAATATATTTGAACCAACTAATAAACATAAAAGAGGAAAACCTAATCATATGAAAACAGCTTAAAAGTCTTCTAGAATTGTTATGCAGAGAAAAAAAAGCTAAATGGTTCAGTAAAATAAAGAAAAAATATTAAGAACACAGTCAAATAGAGAAATATATAACCAATACAAGATTAGTAGCTACAACATACAGACACTAATAATTAATTAGACAAAGATATCAAAAGATAGAAGGATGAGAAAATGGATTGTTATAGACCAAAGCACAATTAGCAACTCAATAAGATATTTAAGAAAAAAAAAAAATCTTGCTAAGCATTGGCTATTACAGAAAATAGAAGGCAAGACATATACTAAGATAAGTAAATGTAAAGAGTATAAGAACAGGACAGAACAAAGTACAAATAATTGCAAAAAGTAGATAAAATAGAATAATAATATAAAGGCAGTTCAAGAAATACTAGTAGAAAAAGGTAATAACAAGTATAATATAATATTAGAACAAATACTAGAAAACAAAATAATAAAGAAATAAAGAAAAGAAGAAAAAAGTCTAATTGAACTAAAACAAATAGAAGAACTAGAAACATAATTAATTAAGAAGCAAAAATTTAATAATAATATTACAGATTACTTAATTGAAGTTCTAACAAGAAACAAGTAAAGAAACAAAGACAAATATATTTTTTATACAGATGAAGCATTATACAAAGAAAAAAAAAAAATAGTATAAGAAAAATGGGCATTAGTTGGGTGTAGGTTAGTAATAGATAAGACTGGCTAGAAGAAGAAATGACACTAAGACTCAAAGACTGACTCTTAGCAACAATAACAGAATTAGCAGCAATATGATTAGCAATTTTAATTATATCAGAGAGAAAGTGTATAGAAGTGCATATAGACAGCTTCATAGCATTAAGGCACATTAACAGAGCAATTCAAGAGATAGAAAATGACAAAATTTTGAAAAAGAAAAATATGATATGAATAATGAATATTGTAGATTTATTCAAAAGTAAGAACAATAGAATAGAACTAGTTAAGGTTAAAAGTTACAGTAATGATAAGTGAAATAACAGAGCAGATTTATTTGCAAAAAAAAGAAACAACATGTAAAAGGACAATAGTTACAGAGAAGATTAAGTATGATACAATAGAGTACTACTTAGAATGAGAAAATAGAAAAGTTGATATACCAGTAAGACTTCTTTATAAAATAGTCACAAATGCTAGAATTGAAGTGAGTTAGAAAGAAACAAATCCAATTTGATTACTAGAGTCAGAAACTGAAAACATGCAATATAATTGGTCAAGCTTTTGAAAAGAGATGAATAGAACAAAAAGTGTACATTATATAACAAGAAAACTTAGTACAAAAAGAGCAATAACAATTAAATGCATAATGAATAGTCTATCAATGCTAGAAGAACTAAACAGAAGAAGACTAGAAATATACATGATGACTGACTGCCAAGTATGTCAAAGAGGTGAAAAGAAAACTTAAGCACACTTAGTAAGCTGCATTGGACAAAAAAACTTGTGAAAAAGGATCTAAAAGATAGCAAAAGCAGTAACATGAAATAGTATCAAAAAAAATAAAAAAGTTAGAATCTTGCTTCTAGTACTATACAAGGTATTTTTTAAGAAAATAGAAGCAAAAAAATTATTAACAGAACAGCTTTAATAAAAAAGCTAACAACAAATGAAGTTGAAAAAAAGATAAGTCAGATTCTAGATAGATAGGCAATACAGAAATGCATAGATATAGTGACAAGAACAATATAAAATACATTCTACAACCAAGTATGAAAAGTTCAGTGTGGAAAAGTACAAGAATAGGAAAAGAAGGTTAATATAACAAGCAAAATAAAAAAGATACTCTAACTAAAAGAAGATCAGAAAAAAGAATGAAGAAAAATGAGATAGCAAAGAAAGAAAAAAAGGAAAAGAAAGTAAAAAAAATAAACTGAATAAAGAAAGAAGCTTAGAAAACAATTAATATGTTTGTCACAAAAAGAGAAAGACATTTCTGATATGATTTTAAGTAGTTAGATGAACAGTCTATCTTTAACTAAGATAGTGTGACAGGTTGCACTTAGGTATCAATAGGATGGCCAAGTGATGCTAGACTTAAGTATTGAGAAAATTCTATGTAATTATTAATGTATATAATTTCAAGAATCTTAATAAAGTATTAGCATAACTACTTAAGATCAAAAAAAATATATATATTTAATTAAAATAAATATTTATTTAAAAACTTATTTACTTCTATAGATAAATTGTTTAACTATTATATTGTAAATTGATTTAGTATTATTATTTTCAATTTGTATCAAATTTAAAAATTATATTTTAATAATGTTTTTAATAAAATATTGTGAGTCCAATTTTTGGGGTCATTGGTGCCCAAATCAGGATGATAATCCTTACCTAATCCAAGGTTATGTGAAAAGTAACAGAAATATTACTTATGATACTTATAGTACTTATGATATTTATAATACTTATGACATTTATATTACTTCTGCTACTTTGACCATATATGTATTAAATAACATATTGGTCTTTTATTATATTTAGTGAATATAGAGTATAAGAAATATTTAACATTTATGGTATAAATTAACTACAAATGTAAATAAGACATTTATTATAAATAAAGAGCATTTTCATTCTGAAAAACAATGTTAAGTCATTCCTTATACAAATAAAACTTTCAGTACCAATAAATATCTGATTCATAATAAAAATATAAGTGTGATAATAAACTAATAAACCATCATTAATTCCATTATTGTTTATTTTATTCACTCATATATAAACCACTAACTCACCATTGATAACTTACCACAAGTCATGTGCCAAGACCAATAACATAATAGAAGAGTTCCAACCCCAATTAAACATAATGTAATCCCATGTTGAGGTAGACAAGAGAAGACTAGGTTAGTAAGAGAAGAGGTTAAAGGAAAGACACAAAGAGAAAAGACAAGTACTTATCTATAAATAAACCATCAACCAAATCTAACATGCCTATTTTGACTTAGCCACCATAGGTTATGCAAGAGTTGGATTAGTTTAGTAACAGACTCACCAATTTTCAGAATCACAATATCTAAAATAAATGATAATATGAGATTCTGAAACAATGTCAGTGCTTTCATTAACTATAATTCCTATGACTGTAACAAGATCTAATTCATTCCAAATACTTTGTTCAACTAAAACAGATATAAAAGAAAATAATTTGCATGAAGAAAAATTGGTTTCATATGTAATTAAGTGATCTTTGAAAATTAAATGTAAAACTTCAATAGCATGACCAAGATAGGTTAATGGTTGAAATTTATTTAATGGAATATCATACTTGGCAATGTAATAAATAATTTTAATTAAACTCACAATGTGTTCAGATGGTATATTCAAAATTTTATCTTTTTTTATAAATCAACATGGTCTTTAGTCTGCTCATGTTCTTTTACTGCATAAAGTTTAAGATTTGTAGAACCTAATCATACATAAATATTTATTAATAGTTTATACTAATGCATTTTTATACAGTTAACTTTCTTTATAACGAAATGACAGTTTTTATGCACTATAATGAATTTTTTTAAAAAGTTCATTATAAAACGTTCTTTATAGGAGCGTTGTCTGTAAATAAAATGATTTATATTTACCACTTGTCGCAAATGCATTTGCTTTATTACAAGTGCGACATAAGGTACAAAACATTCGATTACTTGAAGTATCGTATTCAAGCCATGGATAACTATCTTTCCAACCTTGCCGAAACTTTCTATTAACGATTGACATGTTAAGATGTTATTTTCGTTGACATTTAGCTTAATATTCACGTATACTTTTTAACCGCTACAAGTTTAAATTTAATGACTATAGAACAGTAACAAATTCTAAAATTTTTATTCGTCTATAACTATTGCTATTGTTAACCATTGATTATAATGGTAGATTCTAATTTGATGGATCAAAAACGATACTTCAAACAATTGGTATCGGCGCAGTAAACGGCCGGCATATCACTATAGTGTCTGAAGCCCTGCTAGCCACGTAAACAATCATATTTCATGTATTGCCAATGTAATAAATTAAAAAACAAATTTGATATTGCATAATATGTACAATCTTTAAGTAACTTATTTATTTATTGTAAAAATCAAAAAACAAAACCATACAAGAATATCGAGGTGCTTATATATACATAAAAGCGAAGTAAACCGCCAATAAAACTAAACCATTAACCATTTAGCCAAATCTGCTTAGCCTTTTCGAAATTATGTGGCCACCCAAAAACAAGAAATACAAAAATTCCAAGAGATTTACCAATAAAATCCATGATATAAGGTTCTTTTACAAGAGGGTAACCTTTTATAATAGCAGCAAAACTTGATATACTAGACAACAAATTTATGAAAGCAAATAAAAAAGAAAATGTGACCATTTTAATAGCAGCAGCTCTTGTCAAATTATAAGACCTGCTCGTTTTAGAAAAAGGATCTTTAGAATATTTAGGTTCTTGAATATTATTTTGAGTAATTATTTGTTCAGTAGAATTAGTACTCGGCTTTTTAAGTTGGTCCATATGTTTATATACTTCATAAGCGGCACGACCTACAAGAAATAAAAAAAATATGTAGAAATTTATAGAAATAGAATAAAAATAAATAAATTTGTATTATAAATTTACAAAATACTTACCACTTAAAATTGTGCCTGGAATACTATAAAGTTGATTAATACCAGAAAAGCTAAATAACCTAATCCAAATAGGATAAACAACGTCGCTAAATTATAATGTTATTATAAAATCAATAATAAAGTTGATAATAAATATGTTTGTTATAAATAGGAATAGAATTTATCTTAATTATAATTTTAAGGTAGAATTTATCTTAATTATAATTTTAAGGTAGAATTTATCTTAATTATAATTTTAAGGTAGAATTTATTTTTTAAGTCCTAAAAAATTCCGTTCCCAGTTATAATATAAAATAAATAGAGGTTAAAAAATACCAATTTATTCTTCTCGGTTCAACAGCATTAAAACGTGCTGATAATCCAATAAGGATGCTTATCATAACAACAGGATATATAATTATAAAATAACAAAAAAATTTCTTCAATGCTTCCGAAATTGAATGATGATAAAGGACGAGTTGAGCGTATGTTTGTATCGCAAAGCAAAATGCACAGGCCATTTGGAGCATGCCATTATATTGTAACTGTTTTAACATTCATAAATTAAGTTTTATAAAAATTTAATGTTAATTAAGATCACAGGATTAATAAATAATAATATTCTGTGCAATGTACAAGTTGAACCTTAGTATTCATTATTAACCAGTAGCCAGGATATTAATAAGATTGATCGACTTAGAATCAAAGTTTAATAGAACAAAAAGACTTACAAACATTGCTTGAAAAAAGCAAAATGCATAAGGAGCATTCTCTAACTCATTATGCCATCCAATGCTAAGAGATATGTTGATTGAGTAGAGTGACACTGAAAATGAATATAATGCGATCAAATGGTTTTTTTTAGAACGATATAAAAAAAGGGTGACATATATTGAACCTAATAATGAAAAAAATACTAGGAAATATATAATGATTATTGTAGTCGTATACATTGATGTTAATAAAGGAATCTTGCCAGGAGAATAAATATAAAGGTTTAAGGGAATAAATTCGAGCAAAAGCTAAAGAGAAATCCTTTATTTACATTTATTTATATTATTTTCTTTTCTAGAGTTTCAAGCACAAAAACCAATAAACGTACAGCTGTCTTTAAGTTGTATTTTATTTTTATAGAAGAGTCGTAATCAATTTCCTTTTTGAAATTTAATCAACTAATTTCCGACGTTTTGGAATCTTGGCCAGTGCTAACATGCAAAGTACCAATACAAACATCCGTGCATCTATAAATATGAACCAACTAGTATAAGTTAGTCATTACAGAAAAATGTAGAGATCACGATATATATGATATTAAGTTTTTAAGTTGCTTTGCTTACTAATTCGAATGAATTTATTTTATTTGTTATTTATATAAATATAAAATATATGTAAATTTTATTTGTATCTATATAAAAGTAATTTATTTCTCAAAAATGACTAAGGTAATCATCGATCGATACACTAAGTAAAAATGCTCAGCATGCTCAAAAGCCTTCCCCAACCCCTAATTTAAACTTTAAAATCTAATCATAGCTTTAAGTTGAAAATTTTTTGCTATTTTACATAATTCTACATAGAAATATATGCAAATCTACATTGGGTCTATAAAGCTTCATAAAAACTCTACTATATAAAAACAACTTCGTGATGCAATTATCGGAAGAAGAATTGGTATTACTCTCGTATGGCCTACACCCATTATGGTCACTATCCCGAGTTATGCATAATTTTAATTATTTTTATCTAATTTGCACCTTATTTAGTTAAATCGGCATTTTTATCGATAAAATCGATAATAAGGAAAGAGAAGTAACTATATTAGATACTGTATGATTTCAAGACAACAACGACACGTAGACGTAGGCGACCAACGAATTATGAATAAATGTAATGTTTAGGAAGATGCATAGTGATCTATACGCACAAGACAAGAATGAGAATTTAGTGTTCACTTACTTCATGCATGAATCTGTTTAGGATTTAATGATCGTTTGAAATTGGTGGTTTATTTAATTGCCTGATATTTTAAATCTTGTTACAATGTGATTATAAATATAAACTTACACATACGATATTAACATCCCAGTCCACTTGTTAAACTCCACCTTTGTGATCCACTATTTTAACGATATAAAATTCACGCATAATTTGATCTTGCTATTAAAAAACCATTTAATAAATACCAAAATTTCTTAAGAAAACATTTTGTCAATACAAGGGGGGAAGATTCATATGTAAAATTTCGAGTTGCAACCGATTTCTGGATTATCTTGGTTTCTTAAATGGTTCACTCTTAATCTTGAAATTGTTTTGACTAGTATAATTTTTTTTTTTTTAACTGGTGTTAAACCTACAAACACTGGAAATCACATTGAAATTAAACCCAAAACTTATTTACACCAAATTAAACTCTCACGTAAGATTATATAAGTGCTTAAAATTCGGGTTTACGTTAAACATAATACACTATGCATTTGTTACTAGCCTTATATGCACTTATTTGCGCAAGTAATACAAGACCTAAAAAGGAAATGGCCAATCGTGGAAGAAAAAAGCAAAAATACTCAACAACTAGTATTTAATCGACCTTAGCGCACTAATTAAAAATGTTGAGAACGAAATCTTATATATAGCAAGTAACAATATATTGCTATAGACTTTAATGTTGCTTACGACGACTGCACCATCGGAAGTTTTTTTGATAGTAATTACGTTATAATTTAAGAGTCAGCATTAAGATAAATAGTAATAAAAACTGTTCCTATACCAAAATTTTGCAAGGAAATTTTTTTTTCATAAGACTACAGGTGATTTTGATAAAAGTCGCTATTTCTTTCGATTTCACTGAACAAAAAATGCGCGGATGATCCGCGATTTTGATTGGCCAACGTCTGTGATCGATAAAATTCTGGCCCGCATTATACATAATTTTGGCTGGAATTATTTTTTTGATTTTTTTTTAATTTTAAAAAAGAAAGTTTAATGTGCTTAGACCTGTCCAATGGTAAATTTAGCCAAGAACATTTTTCACTTAATGGGTGACAGGCCTAAATTTTGGATCATCGCCGTTGGCCAATCAAAATCGAGGATTATCCGTGTGCGGCGTCTAGGTTAATGTTAGGGTAAAATCCGGATTCGGTGGACCGCATGTTCGTGCCAATTGGACCGTAAGTGGCACGGGTTTTGCAGCAGTTTACCAGTCGAATCGGCACAGGATTTGGCACGCAGATTTATGAGTCTAGTACGTAAATTCACGAGCCTAGCTCAATAACTAGTACAGAGAACTCCATAAATGCACACTTAATTATGCACGGCTAAGTAAAAACTCTCTCTAAATGCACGGTATGATTTGGTCCCAACTCATAAGATCTATATATAATTTCTACTCTATAATGCACACACTCTCTAAGTACACTATTTCAATTTTTTTTTTTCCTATGGTCCCGATGGTAGTGCATTTACGGAGTTCTGACTGTAGCTTATCATACGTGTCATTATGTATCATTCGAAACGTATCACTCCGTATCTTACAAAACGTACTGCCCTGTATAACACACCTACACGTGTCACAGAAAACCTACCATTACGAACATTACCGAAACCACATTATGCCGCCACCTGAACCACTTTTCTTACAGGGTTTTCTTTATTCTTCATGCGTACAAAATAGAATCTTGCATAATTGTGCATAAAAGGTTCAATTTTCACATGGCACATTCATACGATTATGATGAGGCACTCGCCTGCATAGATGTCAATGGACATGCTATGCAGTAACATCAATACCTCACCAGATTCACAATTTATGTTAAACCAGTATAAAAATAAGGACTTTGAAAGCAATGGTATATAAAGTGTTATCCTTAAAATCCTCACAACAATACTGGTTTAACGTAAGTTGAAGATGCCGCCTAAATATGTGGTTCATTATACCAATATAAAACCTGTAGACTTACCTTTGGAATAATTTAACAATGCACGCAGAATATTTTGCAATTCTGATTGTTGATTTTAGTTGCCTAACAAAATTTAGCCAAATAACTAATTTTAGTCAATTTAGTCGACTCTTACCACTAGCTTGGACATCAGAAATATATAACGTGTCTGTCTGATTCAATGATTCGTAGTCATATATTGACTTATAACATTGTTCACAAGCAATGATGGTAAACAACTTGCATGCATTGAACAGATTTTAAACAGGTAATCCAGATTGTGCACAATCGAATAGTATCTCTGTTATAAGTCATTTCACGATTCCAAATTGACCTAGGTCATTCTTAAATTTTCACCGTTTCAGAAATGACCCAGGTCAATTTTTAATGAAATTTAAGGATCAGGGACTAATTATTGGTATGACAAATAATTATCACTACATTGTTTATATAAATAAATTAGTTAGTGATTATTTGTCACACAAACATTTGTCACGTCCACTGCTTTATTTATATAAATAAATTAGTTAGTGATTATTTGTCATGCAGATGATTGTCACACCCCAGGAAAAATTTAGAATCTAGAATTACTAACAAATAAATAAATAAAACGTTCGAATGTTTAACTTTATCGATAAATACAACTTTTTTTTCTTATTATTTTTAAAAATGGAAGTGACAACTTTTTGGCGCGTAAAACCTTTGATCGAATATTAAATGCTTTTATTCATCAAAAGAAAAACAATTACTGTTTAATGGATCAAAATAATAAATGTTTAGCTGTACTTAAAAATTGATATAAATTTACATAATGAGTAAATTTTTTATACACATTTTTATTAATTATACGAATTTTTTATTATGCGATTTTTTTTTATTTGAAGCAATTAAAGCATTTTTTTCTAATATAGCTTGGGCATACAATTTTAAATTTTTTAAATTTTCACGATTGAGAAATGATCTAGGTCATTTCATGATTCAAGAATGACGTAGGTCAATTCGAATCAACATAAATCATGAAATGACTCAGAACATCTCTACTTTGCGACACTCATATGCAGGTGATAGATCACGAGAATATTTTGACAACTGCGTAAAAAGCTTATAAATGAGATTACGACTTGGAAAAAATCGTGTTTAAGGGCGTCGATGAATAAATTTTTCTTAGCGGAAATTATTATAAGGTGGTTAATGTGTTTATTATCGTAATGAATATTTAAATAAAAATCGTAGCTTAACCGTTAGTGCTTATAATATATTTTTTTAGTAAAAAAATGATACGCGAGTTTATCATTTCAATTTACAAACAGATTATTATTATTATTATTATTACAATTAATTAGTATTAAAAGATCTCAGTGAACGAATATTAACGAAGTGACATTTAATAAAATATTAATGAATCTCTCAAGTAATTACAATTTTTATTTGGATTGACTATAGTAAATGAGCTTCGTCACACGTTTGAGCAAACTTTGATTACTTCTTAATTTGTTCGTTCGTCTCGTTATCAAAAATTTTACCCAAATATAATTATAGTTGTGCTCGATTACGATCATGAGCTAATCACGCCGAGGTTAGGCTTGAGAACGCCCTAAGACTTAGCGTTAGTTAATACAGTAATGCAGAAGGCGTGCATTGTGCATAATTCAGTCACATTTTTCATTTCCTTATTTAGGAGATTAACCAATCAAACGAAAAACACTAAACCAATCTTGGGTACTATTAAAGAACGATTTTACCATAATCTAACTTAACATTCTAATCTTAATTTCATTCGTTTTTAAACAATCAATTTGAAAAGTTAGTCGACAAAATCGGTCCATAACGACACAAGATATTAAATCCAAAATTTTGGATTTAAGCGTTTAAAATAAATCATCACTTTCGAAACAACGTGCTATACAAAATGAATACTAAATTCTATGAACAGCTTTCCAGTGATTTAGCAACCCTTTTTGAAAATGAAACCGAATATAATGTAGTTATTGAAGTTGGTGAAGCACCGAATAATCATTCATTTAAAGCGCATTCTATTATTTTGAATTCTCGATGTTCATATTTTCAAAATAAATTAAGTACAGTAGATTACAATAATAATTTTAAAAAAATTGAATTACCTGACGTTTCTACTGATATTTTTTCGATTATTCTCAAGTGAGTTTTTAAATTTTGTTTTTTAGATTTTTAAAAAACAATTCTAACCTTCGTATATTTTATAGATATATTTATAGTGGCACTGTTTCGTTAGAAAGTAATCCTTCCACAATCTTTGACACCTTAATTACCTTTGATGATTTTGGCTTTAAGGAATTCGTAAATTGCGCACAATCATTTCTTATTAATCATCATTCTAGTTGGTTGAATCTTAATTTCTTTCACATTTTAAAAATTAGTTTTACACACGAGAATTTCAAAAAGCTACAAAAATTTTGCTCTAATATTGTTATTAGGAATCCAAGTATCATTTTTGATTCTGAAAATTTCATCAATATTCCTGAAAATGCATTAGTCTCCATTTTAGAACTTGATGATTTACAAATGAGCGAAATAGAAATTTGGGATCATGTTATTAAATGGGGAGTTGCTCAAGACTCTTCTTTAAATCCCAATCTTGAAAATTGGTCAAATGAAAATTTTTCATCTTTAAAAAATATTCTAAAGAACTGTCTTCCTCTTATTCGTTATTTTGAAATTTCTGGTGAAGATATTTTCGAAAAACTCCGTCCCTACCGACAAATTCTTGATTCAACCATCTGGTTAGATATTGAAGCAAAATTTTTTGCTCCAAACAAGGTTATTCCTTCTAACACCAGATTACCTCCTCGAAACAAACCACCTTCTTTAAGTATTTCATCATTAACCTTTGATGAGGAAATAAATATAAAGGACTTGGATCAAAATCATGCAACATTATTAAGTAAACATGTTCTAAATTGTTCAGAAATGGGTAGATACGATGAAGTACTTACAAATTTAAATAGATTATTAATAAAGGACCCAAATAATCTGGCATTATTAAATAATCGTGGATTAGTTTATCGAAGTATGGCTAAATTTGAAGAATCACTTGAGGATTTCAATAAATCATTAGAAATCAATCCGGATAATGCAATAACTTTAAGTAATCGTGGATTATTATATTATGAGATTGGTAGATTCGAAGAAGGACTAAAAGACCTAAATAGATCATTAGAAATTTCTCCAAATTTTCCAACAACTTTATCTATTCGTGGCATGGCTTATTATTCAATAGGTAGATATGAAGAATCACTTGTAGATTTTAACAAAACATTGGAAATCGATCAAAATAATGCAAAAGCATTATCTCATCGTGGAATGACGCTTTTAGTTATGGGTCGACGTGAAGAATCTCTTGCAGATTTAAATAAATCATTAGAAATAAATCCTTATTGTGAAGCTGGATTAATGGCTCGTATTTTGACTTATCAAAGTATGGGGAAATACGTAGATGAATTATTAAAATTATCTATAGTTGGTCTAGAAATTGATTTTTTTGCAACAAGACGTAAAGGTAATATATATAATGAATTAGGACAATATGAAGAATCAATTACTTGCTTAAATAAAACATTAGCAATTAGATCGAATGACGTAATATCATTATTTTCTCGTGGAAATACTTATTTAAGAATGGGTAAGTATGATGAATCACTTACAGATTTTAATAAAGCATTGGAAATTATACCAAATTCTCCATTCCCTTTATTTGGTCGTGCGGTAACTTATTCAAAGATGAAAAAATACGACGAATCACTTGATGATTTAAATAAATTATTAAATACTTATCCAACTAGCGAAGCTTTCCTAACCAATCGTGGATATATTTATAGCGAGATGGGCAAATATAATGAATCTATTGCAGATTTTAACAAATCATTAGAAATTAGTCCAAATAATGTTATGACATTGAATGCTCGTGGATTAATTTATAAAAAGATGAGTAAATATGAAGATTCACTTAAAGATTTAAATAAAGCTTTAGAAATTAGTCCATGCAATGCTGAAACATTAAATATTCGTGGACATACTTATCTTGAGATGTGCAAATATGAAGAATCACTTGTAGATTTAAATAAAGTTTTGGAAATCTATCCAAATGATCCATTATTATTATATAGCCGTGGAATAGCATATCAAAACATAGGAAAACATAATGAATCACTTGCAGATTTAAATAAATCATTGGAAATTAGTCCAGATTGCCCAGATCATAAATCTATATTAATGCAACGTGGGATAGCTTATTATAATCTGGATATGTTTAAAGAATCTTTTGATGATTTAAATAAATTTTTGGAATCGGATCCAAAAAACGAGACTGCATTAAAATATCGTAAAGAAATTTATCGAAAGACGACAAGCTTTAAGTTTTTTAATTGGTAATATGTAGACTAAATTTAAGAATATCATGTAGAGTAAATATTTGTAACTTTAAGAATTTCATGTAAACTCCATTAGAATGTTGGGTGAGAAAAAATTGGTGACACGTAGAGTAAATATTTTTAAGAATATCATGTAAACTTTATTAGAACGTTGGGGCGTGAAAAAAAATTCAATTGGTTAATAAAAGTTAAAATTTTCATTATTGCTTAACTTTCTTTTCTTTAATCTATTATTTTATTGGTTTTATATTAGGTTATAGGATCCGTAATTAAATGCGGGGTGTTTTAGTACATGATTAAATATTATACTTGTTGATAATGTATTATTTCAAACCTTCGGCTATCGATATTATATTTTATTTCATATATTCAGATAGATCTTCGGTTCTCACCAAGTTCGAGTATAAAAAATCGGTTAAAATTCAAACATATGAGTAGTGGACGCTTAGAAATTTGCCATTTATATTATGCCTAGGGATGTCAACGGCCGGTCACGGTCGGTTATGGTCGGTCATCATCGGTCATGAGTCATGACCGATGGGTAATTTAAAATTTTAGCATCTAGCATTATTTAATTAATAAGATAGCTGCGCAACACAGTCGCGCGAAACCAGGAACGGGAGATGTGAGTATCAGTATAGCAGTTAGTAAATATATCAGTTGTGCACTATTAGACATGTGATGTATAGCCTGCGTAGGATATTTAATATGAACCAAAAACAAGATTATCTGGCCAGCAGTAGTATAATATCCAATCAGCATTAATATAATATATAGCTTGATTAACATATTCAGCTAATTCCTAATTAGAACTTGTTTATTTATTTGCATACCATTTTACACATATATATATGCATTCTTTTGCTTATGTAACAATAATTTTTCTTTAAGTTACTCTTTTTAAAAATAAATATAACATGGTGGTATAATGATATTTGGAAACATTTTTCAAAAATTGGATCAGATGAAAGCTTTAACCAAGGAAGTAGTTAATATAATTACTGCAGTTAAGCCTTGCAAAAAATATGTGTTTTGATTGGCTAACGGCAATGATCGAAAATTTACTTAAATTTTTACTAATAAAATTGTGACCACTCATTAAGTGAAATTAAGTTTGGAAAATTACTGTAATTTTAGTAATTTTATATAAGTTTGTATAAGTTTCTGAAATCAAAATTACATATAATTTGTAAGAAACATAATCATTCTATTATATGATTCAATATGATGCTTTTATAATATGCGCACTGATTAGATTAGTAAGCTTTATGCAAAATCTATTGAAGTTCAATAATGACAGCTAAATTTATCATTGTGTTAGCACTATATATCACACATGTGAAATTTACATGCTATTAAAATTATATAAAATTACATGTAAGTTTGCAAAATGTAATTTTCAATCCTAAGTCAAATATGTTCCTGGGCTAATTTTACAATTACACAGGCCCAAACATAAATTTTTCATTTTTATATTAAAATTGAATTGAGACCAAAATTATGTATAATGTGAACCAGTAGTTTGTTGATCAAAGCTATTGACTAATCAAAATTGATGATAAATTATGCATTTTTTGTAATTTAATGAAATATGTTTATATTTAGAAAATCTATGACAAAGTCTAACATACCAAGACATGCAAGAGTTTTGTTTATGTCACAAACCTGGTATACATTTCATGCTGCAAATATATGCACAATGGTTATATAATTGCATTACAAATTTAAAATATCATTTTAGTTCATCTTACCCCCATTCATTCATATTATATGTATTGCTTTTTTATTATATATATAGTGGTTTGTGGAAATGTATCTTTTTATAAAATATAACTGGTTAATGCAAATTCAAGTATAGTTATGATATAGTTGAGAATTTATTCAAAATGTATGTAATATTTATTAATAATATTGATATTGCTAACTTTATTTAAATTTTGATTATGGCTTTCAAGAACTCAGATTACAATTCCCTAAATTAGGATTACAAAAATGATTACAGTTTGAAATAAACACTTAAAATTCTTTGAATATGAGAATTATATTAATGTTGCATACTTATAATAATAAGTAGTTGCATAACTATGTTGCACAAAAACAGGAATAGAAGATGGATTTTTAGATAGAGTTGCAGATGAAGCTTTTTTCATCATAAGTTCTTTGTTTGCTCCTATTGCTAGCATTTTTAATTCTAATCAGTTTGTCTGAGATAATTAACCAATCAAATTACATAGTTTTTAAAACATTTTTCATTTTAATACTGCTAGAAGACAAAAGAAAATTTAGCTACAAGAAGATTACAAACCAATAATTACATACAAAGAATTTATTACATAAAGTTAGAAAAACAGATAAATATATGTAAAGTGAGATAAATATAATATTATAAAAACCTAAACCTATTAAAGAGTTAATAAGCAAATAAATTATTAGCAAACATATTTTTATTTATTAATTATGTTTTGAAAAGTTAATATTTATTATCATGTTCATTATTAGAGATACAGCATGACTTTTAACTTATGTAATTAATAAAACAATAATACTCATATATATATTAGCACAACTCTATAACATTAAGATACATAAAATAAGAATATTAGTATATGCTTATAGTTATAATAACATGCTAAATAGTATTAACAAAGTTCATTGATTTGGATCTTATGCATAATGTTTTAAACTTCTTATTTTTGTTGGCAATTTCAGAATTTAGAGCTTACATATAGTTAATATGACTAGTACTATAATAAATATTCATATCTAAGTAAAGTTCTTGGAGTAGTGATTATTTTTTATTATTTTTGCATAATGAATATAGACATTTTTTTGAAGTTAAAAAAGGCTTTTACAGTGTTTTTTTGTTAGTGAAAAATTATGTTCTTAGCAAGTACTTTAAACTGTATAAATAAATTATCCAGGCAATTGGTTTACATCATCCAATCAGACAAATGTCTACCTATGACCATGGGAGTTAAACTTAGCATGATTGATAGAAGATCTCCTTATGATGGTGACAGTATAAAAAACAAAGAATCAAGCTCAATAACAATAAGCAGGTTAGTAAAACAATAAATAGTTTAATTCTTAAGTATATAGTTTGAAAATAATAGATAACTTTGAATTATTGAACTAGGACAACTAAAATGAATGAATTTAGTTAGATAAAATTTTATAAACTAGTATAATCACAAGTCTGATTTAGTGGAATTTCCTTATTTTAAGAAATTTCCAAGTTGCTAGCAAAAAAGATATGGACTGTAGTTAGAGATAGGCACACATGAGATTTTTAATATGATCCTGAAATAAGATTATCTGACCAGCATTACCATAATATCTGGCTAGCATTAATATAATATCTGACCTGCATTAACATATTTAGCTAATTCTTAATAATAAGAATTTACCTTTTTTATCACTGGTATCTTTCACTTACATTACAAAAATATTCTCTATGATTAAGTTACTCTTAAAAATAAATAATATGTGTTATAATAATAATATTTGGAATCATCTTACAAAAATTGGATCAGATAAAACCTTTAATCAAGGATGTGCTTAATGTAATTACTGCTATTAAATCTTGCAAAAAATATATAGAAATTCACTATTTTGATTGGCCAATGGTAGTGACCAAAAGTTAGGCAAAATTATTCGAATTTTTAGTAAAGAAATTGTGGCCACCTTTTAAGTGAAATTAGGGTTTAAAATTTTGTAATTTAATAAATCCCACGCAGAATTTTTGGAGAACTTGTGATTTTCCTATCTCTAGATACTATATATCCTATAAAATTAAATGAAATCCATGTTACTAAAACTTATGTAAAATTAGATGTATTGTAAATTTGTAAAATGTAATTTTCAACCCTAAGTGAAAGATGTTCCTGGGTTAATTTTACTATTACACAGACCCAAACTTTAAACAAGTAAAAAATTAAACTCTGACCAAAATTATATATAATGCAGACCAAAATTTTATTGATTACAGCTATTGGCCAATCAAAATTGAGGTTCAACCTTGCAGCACCTAGATTTAATGAATTCTGTATGAGATTTTTTGAAAAACCATGATTTGCCCATCTCTAGTTATTGTATATCAAAAATTCTCTATATATCTAATATTAACAATCATGTCCTCTAAGTAAAATTTCATTCTGAAAACTTTTACTTAGAGGTCAGAAGTTAGTTATAGTAAATTTTTTGTGTTATTTATGTTTTTTTTATAATTTTATATGATATAAATGTTTTAAAAATCACAAACAAAAACAGGTAAAAACAAGAATAACTTCATGTATGTATTATGGGTGTAAAAGACACAATAATAAATAGTGTTACTGGTGAATTAGTGGGATTACATACACAAAGGCAATTAAGAAATGCAACGAATTGTTGCTTAACAAATAGTTATGCCATGTAACATTCCTCAATGTCTTAGAAGCAGGATGGTTTGGCACTGGTCTAGAGCAATAATTAAGGAGCATTATTAAGAAAGTTAGGATGAGGTAAGTGAAGAGGTCCTAAAAAAGCATTCTACTTTATGAAGTTTATTTTCTTTGAGTAGAAATTTTAAGGGTCTTTATTTATTACTTTATTACTTTTTGTAGGGCAGAGAAGGCACACATTTTATTCAAGTGAAAATGATTCCTTTTTATAAGGTTTTTATAAAGCAGCAAGAAGAATATTTTCGAAAAATTCGCTATTATTCTAATACATTTTGTTCCATTACTTCAAGCTCTTTTCCCTCTTTTAGCCAATTCTTTTTTCTTTACAGCCTTTATTTCTCTAACAACATTTGGCATCTAAAAATGCTTTCATGTTGTTCCTTTCTATTTTTTATATAAGACTCAAACTAATTCTTTCTTTTTAATTTAACTCTTTGTCCCTTACTTTTCACAGCCTCTTACTTCTTGTTTATTCAATGCTTCTTTTTACCTTCCAATAAACATTCTTACAACTATTTCATCTATTGAAAACACACCTACATGGTCACAAGCTTTACTC